GCATAATTTTTATTAGATAGTTTTACGTCTAGAATAGCCATTACTCTACATTGAAAATGTTTATGAGGATATGTAATGTAAAATCCGTCCATGTCGATGATGTGTCTAATATTTTTTAGATTTTGTGTCATTTTGAGCCAAAAAGTTAAAAGTATTTACACGTGACTAAAAATATGTTTGTTCCAACAAATTTCACATAACAATGCTTCATTACTTCCCATCATCCCATCTCTTCCTTCTGCTCTTGTCTTCCTGTAATTTAAGTAAACAGAATCACATTAACTAATGATCAACTAATGACTGTCATTGTTAAAAAAGTATTTTTTAACTTTTTCCACTTTCTGCTATTGTCTTTGTATTCAGGGCTAGGAAATGTCCGCCGCGCTGCCTCAATGCATGTTGGCGAACTTCACATGCCTTCGAAATTTTCTCTGACATTCAGGTTTCCTCATGATGTTTTCCTTCACCGCTGAGCACGTGTTAAATCAGCACTTAAAATTGCAATTAACAATTTAATTGGTGCCGGCGGGGATCGAACCCGGGTCGCGTACTGTGAAATTTACAGCTTGAGCTAACCATCTGAGCTACCACGGCTTAATTATATACACACATAATATTTAAATATAATTTGTTAACACTAAATCATACACACGTAAGAAAATAACAGAAAGAAAAGTAAGAACTTCTCTACGCTAGATGCGATCAAATGGAAGGAGCTGGCACTGGGGAGCCCCAGTCCAGAGGTAGGAACAGTATTCCATGTGCGGCCCAACCTGCGCCTTGTAAAGTTGCAGGTGGCGAGCCAGCATGAAATACTGTCCCGCTCTGCTGAGCACGCCAAGCTTTTTAGAGGCCAATTTGGCCTTCTCTTCCGAGTGACCACGAAATATGTCGACGCCGAGGATTCCGATACTGGCTAAAAAAATAAACAAAGGGGAGTGTCTTGGAACTGACGAGATACGACGAAGGGGTTCTTTTTAGCGGTTAACGCGCAAACGTGTCTCTTCTGGGGATTAAACTGGTCAAGATTCAGCAGCCTCCGAGACTTTATACAGCAAAGTCTCGACTTCAGACACAAGTTTGTCCCAGTACTCGTCGACTTTTTCCCGAGAAATATTGGCACGAACGGTATATAAAGCGTCACTAGTGCTGTCGTCTGCATAGCAATGAATGTTACCGGTTTGCAACATGTCACATAGAATAACATAACATGCAATATGTTCTAAATAATAATAATGATAAGAGTATATAATCAAAATTATATATATATATATATATATATATATGTGTATGTGTGTGTATGTGTGTGTATATGTGTATGTATGTGTATATGTGTATGTGTGTGTGTGTGTGTGTGTGTGTGTGTGTGTGTGTGTGTGTGTGTGTGTGTGTGTGTGTGTGTGTGTGTGTGCGTGCGCGGTGCAATCAAATCAAAACAAGGTGCAATCACTCTAGTGGGCGTTCACCGTTATCTGAACTCAAGTCTAACGTCACTTAGCACAAAACTATAATCGAAGAAGACCGCGATCTTCTCCCGGATCACGAAGTTAAGCGTTCCACCCGACAAAGCAAAAATTCCTTCGTACGATATTAAAATGCCACACAAGCAACTGGTCGACGCAAATTAATGGCAATCGAAGTTAAATTAATCACTCAAACTCAAGGAAGGCCTCGTTGTCACGTATATGAATCAAATAAGACCACGCAAAGGGTGTGGTCTCAACGCGACCTAACGATTCTCACTTAACTTCCCGGAATCGAACCGACACGGCCGTCGGGGACAATAGATTATTCCAGACTAATTGGCGCGGCCGAAGCCGCAAAATGAATGCCCCCGACGCAAAACGTCAAACCGGTTTCTCGCCCGAGACGAGCGTTTTTGCAAGTTTTAAGTTGTTACGATTTGGCCTAAACATTTGGTTTTATCAATTAAGTGAAAGTGAATTTATGCCTAGCCACTGACAGACGGTATTAAAACCTTCTTGTGCAATATTAAAAACTTCTTCCCACGAATCCCCATAACAAGTTAGTGAAGTATCATCGGCATGAAATATTATTTTACCATTTTTTATATTTTAGTTACAAAGTTCATTATTGTAGCATAAAAACAGCGTTGGGCCAAGTATACTGCCTTTTGGATGCCGTAACTAATGGCTTGTTCATCGCTTACTATGTTACCTATCCGTACGCTCTGTGTTCGATTATGTAAATAATCCAAAAGAAGTAGTAACTGTTTATCCCTTATGTCCATCATTTCTAGTTTTGCAGAAAACTTAGCGAAAGAGACTGTATCAAGCGCTTTTTGAAGGTCTATAAAAATGGTTAGGCATTTTTTTATTATCCAATTTCTCAACAATAAAACGTATTAAGCATTTGTAATTATTTCATTTGCTTTCAGATATTTGATATGCCTACAGTTAATTCTTTTCAAAGATTTTAGAGAGGGAAGCTAATTATTGAAATAGGACGATAATTTGAGATACAGCCTCTTTCGCCAGTTTTACGTATGGGAATGACTACAGATTTCTTTGGCGAGGGAGGAAAGATGCCTTTTGATATGCATAAATTAAAGACATGTGTAAGGGTGGTGTACAATTAAATCTTTGAGAAGTTTTAATACTATAGCAGAGATCCCGTCCCATCCATCCTGCACCGCTGTCTGACTTAAGGCCTAAAATGTACCTTTCTATTTCTTCTTCACTAGTGTTGAGGAGAACAAACGAGTTACACCTTGATGTTCACTTATTTATATTTTGAGGAAGTAGGGGAGTATTTAGAGGAATTTTATTGGCTAATTCAGCACCTATTTCAGCAAAATATTCATTGGCCGCGTTTACAGATTTAAGAGGACTTATATTAGCTTTGAGAAGTTCTAGCGGTAAATTTTTATGATGGTCTAAATCATTAATTTTCTTTATAGCTTTCCAAATTTTTTGGTTATCATTACCTGCTATTTTTAACTCGTTGCTTTGATAATTTCTTTTGCATTTTTTAAGAATGTTATTACAATAGTTTCTACACCTTAAGTACGTGATTCTTAGTGTCTCGTTATGGGGGTCTTTTTTGGTTTAAAGTGCCTTCTGTCTCTTGTTCTTATGCACCTATGCAATAAGTAATCCTATTGTTATCCATGGTTTTAATGTTATTTTACTCTTAGGTAGTTTTATGTTAATAGATTTTTTTTAAATTAATTTTTGTAACTTTTCAATATTAAAGTTAATGGATTGACTACAGTTGGAGAGATCAGAGCGGAGACATTTTTAAGGAACCGGGTGCACGAAGGCTGTCCATGCATGTCTCCATGACTTCGGGACTACGCCTAAGGAGTAAGAGTGCCGGAAAAGGCGCGCTAAAATTGGTGCCAACTCCATAGCGCACGTTTTCGGCACAACAGGAGAGACGCCATCAGGCCCACTCAACTTGTTGACGTCAAGGGAGAGGAGTGCTCTGCGCACTAGGCGTTAGGTAAACAACACATCCAGCATGGAGCACTCACACTGCGGGATGGTCGGCGGTGTGTTCCCCCGTCATTAAGAGTTGAGTTGGACGCAAAGAGAGAGCCCAGCAGATGGGTTTTGTCCTTTGTGGCATGGCCTGTGAGTAGTCCTCCCTGTGCAGAGATGGGAGAGATGACTGACAGAAGTTCCCTTGGACAACCTTGGCGAGAGACCAGAATGCACGTGTTCCCGAAGAAAGGCGAACTAGTTTCTCGACAATTCTGCCGATGAGCTCTGACTTTGCCCTGACAATGACACTTTTGAAGGACCTGGAGGTAGAATTATACTTCTTTTTAAAAGCGCTGGTATTTACATCCCGAGACGTCGATGCGTGAGCGCAGGGCTAGCAGCACTCTTGCTTATGACGTAATGCAATTTTGCAGGAGCAACTAAACCGTGGTTGCATTCTGGCTCCGATAGATACCATAGATGATGGAATAAAAAGTTCCATTGTAGTGGTAGCCAGTGTAGTGGTAGCTCCATATAACGACAGAATCAGCAACAACGCTGCGATCATCCGGTGAGAATCAAACCCACCTCTAAGGGTAGGATGCAAAGAAAGATCGCATCCCATCTCAATCGGCTGACCTATAATGCCAAACACGGCGGCAACCTGCAGTACGCAACCGTGAAGGTAGCGTGAGTGGCACCGTACTCCAGATTAAGCAATGGTCCGAGGAGTCGAGAGGGGCGTCGACGGAGACCTGATATTCATCCGGATGAGAGGTCAGAAGAAGGTCTAACAGGGAAGGTACATGACCTTCCACATCTGGGATCTGCGTAGGCCAGGTAACCAATTGTGTCAGACCATATCTCAAAGCAAAGTCATAAACGGATTTACCCGCATGATCGGGTAAACGAGAACCAAGCTATTCAGCGTGGTGGGCGTTAAAAACACCAAGCATCACAATCTCTCGTCGATGAGTTGGTATGTGTCAGCAGATACATTTTGTCGTTTAGTTACCTTTTGTTATATTTTACAAATCCTTTTGAGATAACTTGTATTCCATTTACGCAAAACACCATATTATTTTTCAGATAGTAAAAATAGTCACCCAGTATACTGTGTAACAGTCTGTAGTGACTAGATATTAATTTTACTGTGTACGCTTAGACAACAGACGTCCCGTGTAAAGATGCTGATCCAGTAATGTAAACTATTATTGCTGAAGTAGTGTCAAATTGTATTTCATTTTAATAAATAGATATTCTGCATTGTGTGAAGGTTTTATTCTTCATAACCTGAATTTTGGGGGGATTTTGGATAAGATTTAGGAAGAACGCGAGATGGCCAACTGGCAGGACTGCATATGGCAGTTAGTTGAGTTGAATACTCTAAGGTCAGATTGTCCGATTAGGCTGTATGGTCATGAATCCTTATGCCTTTAAATCACTAAAAAACTTTTACGCTTATTGATTTTTGTTATTCCTGTACGAAGTAGATAAAACGTAGAGATTAAATTCTCTTGGAACGTGACGTTATTCTAAATTGGAGAATACAAAATGTCTGCGAAATTAAACGAAGCTCAAGAACACTATAGAACAGCGGAAAAATTGTAAGTATTGCAGAGAAAGGCAAACCAGTTCCAAAAGTTCACATGATTTTACATTTTTTTAATGTTTGTATTGCCTCTGATGAATTATAAAGCCGTTGTGCTAACAAAATCAATTCATAATAAAAACAAATAAAAACCTTGTTGTATGTATCCAAATTTGATATTCTTTATCGGCTTTAAATAATTTGAAAATTACTGATGTACATACTGTATGCACTTAATTTTACAACTTTTATTTAGAAAGGTTTGTTACCAATTTATAGTTACCATTCCTGAACCCGTAGTGGATGAACTAAAAACCTGTCAGTTCACATTAACTTTTGTTACAAAACTTCATCATGTGTGGAATGTTATGCTACTGTTACTGATGGAATATGCTGCTACCTAATATTGCACTTGTTTTGTTTAAAAATTAATGGATAAACTGTAGTAGGCCACAGCATCCACTTACCATCAGGCGGACTGTGTACTCGTTTGTCGCCATTATTCTATAAAAGAAATCACCCCATGGGTGTTTTGTAAGAAGCAACAGACGAAAATGATTCAGCTGATTGGCAACGGCATCTTCCTGATAACATCTCAAAATAATAACAGAAACTGCACTTGTAAATTATTTGCCTTCCAAGCCTGCCCTTATGTGGCAATCTATGGAAGAGTCCAATGCAAAGTAATCTTTTAATAGACTGAAGGCATGAATTAATAATAAAAAAATAATCATATATGTTGTTATATGTACATGTGTTTCATTATCATGTGATGTTACAAAATTTATGATTTAATATTTATTTCCTTTTTATTATTATCGAATGCATGCAATTATTATTATTATATAAATACTTTCAAAAGGAAAGAAATTTTATGCTGCTAGGTGTTTACCTATACTCTGTGTTAGTTAATTTAAAAAAAAAACATATTGTCTTATCATTATTATTATTTTTCTGTGTTATTTTGTATTCATTGTTTCTCACATAAATTTCATTCTTACTTTATGAATTTGTTAATCCTTAAACATAATTTTAATAAGCCATTCATCTTGCTGCTTTGCATTTACATTCACATTTAAAAATATTTGCCAAGCTATTTTATTAAGAATCTGCTCCATTTTCATCTGCCCTGCGAAATCTGTATTTCATAAATTTATATATAAAATGTCTAAAAATTTATATATAAAATGTAAATTTATGTATAAAATGTCTTCGCCTTGTATTATTTCACAGAAAACTAGTTTATTCATTCTGTAAATAAAAATACTCAAAATTAATATTTATTTATTATGAAAATAATGTTTCATTCATATACGTTATTGGGTACTTATATATAGCTAAAAAATAACATGGTTATGAAAACATTATTTAACAAATTTCACATAACGTTATTATATACACTTATTACATTAATACATACATTTAATTATCAGATTTATAACATAGTTGTGCAAAAATGCGGATAAGTCTCGTGGATTCATTGTATATATCAATCAGTGGCATAGCTACCTTGGGGGCTAGGCGGGGCAGTGCCCCGGGACACTAATCTCAAGGGGCCCCTCAGCCTCCGTGAACGACATTTAAAAAATTATACATATACAACATAAATTAATTTAAAAAAAATCAAGTTTTTACTTTATGGCCCCTGAGAAATAAACTTCGAACAAAAGCTAATTAATTTTTTCTGGTCACTCTATAATGGATAATTTTCAAAATCCCTAAATCTGTATCTATTTATTTCACATTTTATAGAAAAGAGTGACAAACGATCACACACATCACCTGATGATAAGTGAATGCTGTGGTCCGTAGACTTATTTATCCTCAATGAAGAATCAAAATACAGATGCGTTGTCACTCCTGAGGACTAAGATGGAATGCCTCGTTTATAATAATGTCTCCGGTTCTCTACACCCACCATAAGAAACACAGCAACATTACGCTGCTATTTTACGCTGGTAATCTGTGAGAGAGCGCCGTGGTAGCTCAAATGATTAGCGCTCGCTGTATATTTCACACAGTACGCTAGCAAACCGCGTGGGATCCGCACCGGCATCAATGAAATTGTTAATTGCAATTTTAAGTGCTAATTTACCATTGCTCAGCAGTGAAGGAAAACATCATGAGGAAACCGGCATGTCTGAGAAAAAAAAAATACAACACGCATTAGGCAGCTCGGCGGACAATTCCTCGCCGTAAAACCCTCTCAGAAATGAGCTGAGGCCTGTGCCCAGGAGTGGGACGTACATAGGCTGTAACTTTAACTTTTTATTCTGTGTGAGCGTAGTCCTACCCCGGTCGAACCAATCCATTCGTGCTGCAATCATAATATAGCTGCAGCATGACTCTAACACGTAATATACAGATTACCTTTAATAACTTTCATGTCAATCGACCCGTAAAATAATAAGTTTCATACAAATAGTTTCACCCTATTTCATCCCCTTAGATAATGGATTTTCTTTGATCCTTTCATAGTGGATGCCTACGTTATAAAAGGCAGCGACTGTCCCATTTTCAGATTTCTACATATAGCGGTTTGGGCTGTATATGGAAGTACGATTAAATAGTATATGCTGCGTTACACATAGTAGTTTTGCACATTTAAATTATTTAGTTTAGTTCAAATAAGGCCCGAATTTCTTTTTTGCCCCGGGGCCCTTGTTTGCATAGCTACACCACTGTATATAACTTGGGTTTATAAATATATATTTTTGTACATAGCACAAAAATTTTCAATATTTATTGTAATGATTTCTTATATTTACGCGAACACTATACATTGATTAAAACTACTTTTACGGATTTTATCGCGTTTTATTTATATTAATTTTTATACCCGACGTGACGACGTGAGAACATTCTACAAGCCGCCGAAGAAGATTAGTCAGTTCTTACCATCCGTCAAGTGTCATATTCCTCTACAAGATGCAGGAGTGTACAAGCTTGATTGTGATTGTGGTCTCTCATATATAGGGTAAACAAAGAGATCAATTAGAACCCGCGTAAAAGAACACATAGCTGACGTGAAGCATCAACGTTCCGGGAAGTCTGCAGTTTGCGATCATATTCTAGATGGCCCCAATCATTACATCAGATTTGATAGACCACAAATCCTCGCGAAAGAACATCGATTCCTACCAAGGATGATACGTGAGGCTATTGAAATTAAAAAACATCCTAATTTCAATAGAGAAGGAGGCTGGGTACTACCACCTGCTTGGGATCCTATAATTAATAAAATTAAAACTAAACCCAAGCATACCACTGCAAGACTTCAAAATACAGTTAGTTCATTCTGCGTAGATCGGACCAAAGACAATAATTAAAAAGCTGAAGGTACTCCGGGTTAACTTTGACATCGGGACGTCAGTCACCTCAGTACCCCGTGACTATGGGTGCTGGAAAGCACCCGAAACGTCGGGTATTAAAATTAATATAAATAAAACGCGATAAAATCCGTAAAAGTAGTTTTAATCAATATTTATTGTTATAATAAAGAACTAAAACTAAAATGTAAAATTATCACACAGTTCCATTTCCCTTGGTAAAGTGTCAATAACGCTGCCTACATTTTTTTGCTTTCCTTAGCTTTTGAGGGAGACAATAACTAGACCTCATATCACCAGCGGCAAACACAAGTCTAGGATTCAGTTTCATTAGGAACTCTTTTTTATAGAATAAGGGTGACAAACGACATACTCCACCTGATGGTGAGTGGGTGCTGTGTTAACTTTGACACACTTTGAGTACTCCAGGTTAACTTTGACATCGGGACGTCAGTCACCTCAGTCCCCCGTGACCATGGGTGCTGGAAAGCACCCGAAATTCGGGTATTAAAAATAAAATAAATGAAGCGCGATAAAATCCGTAAAAGTAGTTTTAATCAATTATTTTATGTTTTGTTGCTTATTTTGCACATGGGCAATGCCTGAAATAAAAAAATATTATCAAAAGAGAGTATTGTCAATATTAAAAACTAATATCAGTCGTAGTTTATTTTGTAGTCTTGAGTTTAATTATTGTATTATTCTTTTAGTTTGAAGACATCTTTGCTACGCTGGAAGCCTGATTATGACTCTGCAGCTGATGAATATAGTCAGGCAGGTAGGACGTTTTTATTTACACACACATACACATACACAAGGGTGCGTGCACGTGCACTTTTTTCTCCGATACCCCAGAACTTGTGTCAATTTTTGCAAGGTGTACAGAATAGGAAACACACACACCCACGCACGCACTCATGCACGCATGCATGTTAGCACGCGCACACTCACAGATACACACACACACACACACACACACACGCACGCACGCACGCAAGCTCCGCTCGCACGCACTCACTCACTCGCACGCACTCACTCACTCACACGCACTCACTCACTCACACGCACGCGCACACACACACACACACACACACACACACACACACACACACACACACACACACACACACACCAACACGCACGCACGCACGTGCACACACGCATGCGCGCACACACACACACACACACACACACACACACACACACACACACACACACACACACACGCACGCATGCGCACACACACACACACGCACGCACACACACACGCACACACACACACACACACACACACGCACGCACACGCACACACACACACACACACACACACACACACACACACACACACACACACACACACACACACCAGACAAACTTGTATATCTGTGTCTTGTATATGTGTGTAATTAAATACTCTTTATCTTATTTTTAGCACAATGTTTCCGCATAGCCCGCGACTTGAAAAGTTCCAAAGAATGCCACCTAAAGGCATCGGAGATGTACAAGAAGAATCGTTCTTTCTTCCATGCAGGGAAAGCTCTTGAAAATGCTATCATTGTTAGCAAAGAGTTATCCACTCCTGATGAGGTAATAAAGAAAAATAATGTTTTGCAATATAATAAAGAAATATAACAGAAAAGTCCGCACATTTATAAGCTTCCACAGAATGCTTCATCCAATAGCTTAGAGTATGTACATTGTACATTTTTTACATTTTATAAGCCAGTATTTGGCTATCATCCCACCTGATAGTAAGTGAAGATGGTGTATTCCGCATGATAAGATTAACATATCAATGGAGGTACAAAAGTTTTTGAATATGGTTCAATTTAATATACATCATCTCTCATCACATAAACATTGTAGCGGACACAACTCCGATTAGTTGTTCTAAAGACAGTATCATTAGAATATTTGTGCATTAGTATATATGTTACGGCTAATATCAACTGCAATGGCTGCACCTAGTTGTAACAAACCAAGATGTATCCACACTTTGGCTTATAGCTGTGACTCCAAACTTTTTATTTCATTTTAGATTTACACATTGGCATGTGAATCAAGCAGTCTTTATCAGCAACATGGCTCAGGTGATTCGGGGGCTAATGTGTTAGACAAAGCTGCGAAGATTTTGGAAGAAAACTCGCCTGAAAAAGCTGTTAAATTATATCAACAGGCAGCTGATGTATCATCAGTAAGTACTGAGAAAGATTGCACTGATACATTTTCGGTATTGTTTCTTTACCGTGTTCATAAGTATTCATTTATAACTTTTTAATATAACAGACTGAAAGTAGTCAACACCAGGGATCGGAATATATCAGCAAAGCTTCAAGGATATTAGTCAAACTCCAAAGGTGAGATTCAGTATTTTTTGTGTTTGAGAAATTGAAAAATAATATGTATTGGACAAAAAATGACCTTACAATATCCCTTTTTTGTCCAGCACAATTTATATTAGGTCTTTTTTACTGTATTCATCTTTTAATTTATATGGTATAGGATGTGGCCATAATATAATATGATAATGATTTGCAAAATGATGGACTTGTGCACATATGACGTAGACACAGTAGAATATTGTACTAGACTATTAATTTCAAATGAAAAAATATGGCCAGAGCAAAACTTTGCTTTTAAATTTATAGATATGATGAAGCTGTGGACAGCCTTCGGCGAGAGATAGGTCTCCACCAGGAAGCTGGCAACATTGGAGCAGTGGGTAGACTCACGGTAGCCATTGTATTAGTACAATTGGCAAGAGGAGATGCTGTTGCTGCTGAAAAAGCATATAAAGTAAGTTTACACAGTCAAATATTATATCCCTGAAACTCTTCACCGCTGCGTTGGAAGACGTTTTCAAGCTACTGGACTAGAAAGGATACGGTATTAACATCAATGGCGAGTACATCACTCACCTTCGATTTGCCGACGATATAGTCCTTATGGCAGAATCGCTGGAGGACTTAAGCACTATGCTCAATGACCTCAATAGTGCCTCCCAATGGATAGGTCTTAAGATGAACATGGACAAAACAAAGATCATGTTTAATGTCCATGTCTCACCTATGCCGGTAGTTGTTGGGAGCACTATGCTCGAAGTTATTGACGAGTACGTTTACCTGGGACAAATAGGACAAATACTAGGTAAGTCCAACTTCGACCGAGAGGTCAATCGACGGATTCAACTCGGCTGGTCAGCGTTCGGGAAATTACGACACATCTTCTCGTCAGGTATACCTCAATCTCTGAAAACTAAAGTGTACAACCAGTGCGTGTTGCCAGTGATGACTTACGGATTTGAGACGTGGTCCTTCACTGCTGGCCGTATGAGGACGCTCAAAGTCGCTCAGCGAGCTATGAAGAGGGCTATGCTCGGAGTTTCTTTGCGTGATAGACTCGGAAATGAGGATATCCGCAGTAAAACCAGAGTGACCGACATAGCCCAAGATTAGTAAGCTGAAGTGGCAATGGGCCGGCCATATAGCTCGAAGAACCGATAACCGATGGGGAAGAAAGGTTCTCGAGTGGCAGCCTCGTACCGGTAGGCGTAGTGTAGAATGACCCCCCATTAGATGGAGTAATGACCTGGTAAGACATGCAGGAAGTCGATGGATGCAGGTGGCTCAGGATCGTGCTTTGTGGCATTACTTGGGGGAGGCCTATGTTCAGCAGTAGACTTGTGAATGGCTGTAATGATGATGATGACACAGTCAAAGTAATGTTAATAAAGCATTAAAACTGTTAATTAAAAGCAGCGAGGTAATTCAAATAACGTATTAATTTAATATGATTTTATTGCACTTCATAGGAGTGGGGCAATAACTGTGAAGCACCAGAAATGCAAACTATTGAGCAGCTGCTGCAAGCTTATGATGAAGAAGATAGGGATTCTGCTAAAAGAGCACTCGCTTCGCCCTTTATACGTAGTATGGATGTGGAATATGCCCGTCTAGCTGCTTCGATACCATTACCAGAAGGTATAGAACCGCTACCAAAGGCTGCCGTAAGGGAGAATGCAGCACCATCATATGTCAGCCCGAATGCTGCTAATATGGAGGTATAATTTAATTTCTTTACCTTTTCAATATATATATGTATCTTTGCTGCGGCAAATCCACTCTGCTAATTTAAAAAGCCCCATGTCCAGTAGTAAATTATTGGCGGTCTAATGAGGAGGATCTAGCTGAAATGGTCAAAGTGTAGAAAATAGTCATTATGATTTTTATTAGAATTTAAAAGCATAAACTATAACTAACACAATATAACAATGTTTCAGTTTTTCAAGATTAAATTATTCCTAAAAAGCAGGAGAAACAAAAATCTAATTATAAAATTAATTTAAGTCATAAAACAGAATGTACAAAACAGTGCATAACAGCAATAAATAATCTATATATATGGGTGGGGCTCAAAAAATATATCTTTTAATTTTAGTATTTTTTATAAGTTCTATTGTAGAATTTTATTTTTCGCATTAAAATTAGGACATCAAAAATTGATAGTTGTAAATAAAATTCACAAATCTTCAATTTACACGATGTATTAGTTTATAAACTCAACCTTTTTTTTTACTTCATACAAAACTTAAATATCTCAGCTGTCCGTCGACAATGTTTTAATTTTATTTTTTTTAGTTACCTACTCGTTTATTGTTTTTTTTTTTAATATGTATTGTTAGAATATTAGGTAATTTATGGCATTTTATCCGAAAATCTCGCAAAATCTTACAATTTCTTGCAAAACCACAAATTTATACAAATGTCCGTCATAATTTTCTAGTGCGTTACAAGTAATGTGTTACACGTTGATTTGTAGTTTAGTGATAACCGCATTAGAACTTATTTTGTAGGGTGTCAGCACCTTATAATAACAGCTGTCAAGTATCAATTTAATGTCAATCGGTGCGTTTGGTAGAAAAAAGCGCTAGCAAGCGCTTATAAGCGCTAAAATAGTTTTCGGCCAGGACACGATTCCTACTTCAGTAGCGCTGACACAATCCGCCATTTTGCTTATTTAATTTGTTTGTTTTGAAGTAGAGTTTATAAGTTGTTTTATGCAATATTAGTTTTAAGTAACATAATGACATGAATAAACATATATATGCTATTAAAAACTCATGATTGGTAAGTTTTTAATATGAATACTTTACAAACATATATTAAAATTAGGTTAGATTCCCCGGTTAAAACTAACATCGTGTCCTGGAGGAAAATAGCTATTTACGATTTAACAGCGCTCACCGCTTACGATCGCCATTTTGCTTACAAGCGCTTGCAAGCGCTTTTTTCTGCCAAACGCACCCAATCTTTGTAATCTAGCTACAAAAGTGAGGTTCTTCGCAGTGTTCCTTTTGTTCATCGAAAATATTGGATATTAAACACATAATTTTCAAGTTAAACACATAACTTCATTATATGAAGCATAGATACTAGAAAAATACTTATTTAAGTCGTATATTATGACTCTTCTTTCTAAAATTTCTTTGAATATGCGGCTACTTTAATCGTCTAAACGCAAGAATCTTCTGTGTTCGGTCTCGTGTGCTATGTTGTGTTACACAACACACTGGATAACATTAAGCTTGGTTCAGCATTGATTTTTCTTAATTATGCACTTATAATTTCAGATTCATTTCAGGACAAGCTAATACAATTAATTCATTACCGGTTACCATTACTTCGATTGCTTTGTTGGTTTAGTGTCGTAAGTACGACTCCTGATTATCTAGTACCTGATTCAAGTGCCAAAATCAGTTACTGGGTTTTTCTGCGATAAATTCTCAACTTTTCTTCCGTGTCTTGAAAAACACGTAAAGTTATTAGTTCTGCACCAGATATCTCTGTGGTAGTGTCAGATTGCTTGCGCGAACGCACTCGTGCACTACCCTGTCTTGCGCAAATGGCTAGTCTCCATCGGTTTTGGCCATCATGAACGTAATTCGTATGTATGAAAAATTACTTGTGGAACATTCGTCCACTCTCGGTCCAGTGCTACAAACAAACGATGCACGAAACTGAGGTTCGTATCGGTATCCGTTTTCACGAATCTGAACATTGATAATCCATATCAGTGGATTTATATAAATTTTAATAATCCGGCACATTTCAGCGATTAAGCAACTTCTCTTCAACTTTCAACTTCAATCTCTCATTATTTGTTGGTTTTACAACGGATGTCTTTGTTCACAAAGTGTATAAGCTCTCTTCGCAGCAAGTTGAGAGCATATTTGTAATTCGTCGTACGGACATCAGTATATAAACACATCTTAGGAAGGATAGTTAGATTTCATTATCATCATTACATTCTATCAAAGTCCACCGCTGAACGTAGAAGTCCTGTAGATTGCCTCATAGAGGGGATGTCTGCGAAAGTTGTCTCGCTTGGCAGACGAGTTGGTTACTCTTTGCTGTGGCCTATTGTCGCCGCGGGTGGATATGGTGCAGTGGATTTTCTTACGCAAACTTTACGGCTTTAATTAGGTTTATTTAACGTTAAATAGACTTTTTAAATAATAATTTTTATTATATGTTTTTTTTTCTTCATAAATTTACAGGATCAACAGGAGGACAACAAAATGGATTGTAAAGAAGATGAAAAGAAGACTGACGACGAAGATGGTTTATGTTAAATCTGATCTAAGTTATCCGACTTCAGGTGATTTACAATATTCTGTAAAATAATTTATTTTAAATTATATTTTGACTTCGACATAGATATTAGACTAAAAGTTATAAGTTTAAAAAAATTGTTTAATGATTTTACAATAAGAATGTTTCAAATTTCGCAATGGTATTATCATGAATAATATTTGCAATATACTTAAAAGCTATTTACTTGGATGTAATGATAATATATGTATTTAAATATATCATTTTGCGATATATTACAATTAAAAAAGACATTGAAATTAAAATGTTACTTCATCCTAAATAAGACATTTAGATGCTTATCAAATATTAGCTGAAAATATGCCTATAGATTAAACAATACGTTATAAATCTATTAAAGCACCAAAAAAAGTGACAATGACGTGTTTTCTTATTCAAAAACGTCTATATAAAAATTTACAAGGAATTTTTAAGATAAAGCATTAATATCATATATATATATATATATATATATATATATATATTTTTTTTTTTTTATAGTAAAACCTGCGCTAAAACGATCCAGGGGCTCAAAATGTGGCATTATTTTTATTAATATTTAAAACCATGCAAAAACTAACTAATTAAATAACTGTACCCTCCTCTTATTGCGTCTAGTTCCAAAGAGACTAAAATTATATAATTTTATGATGTTAAGTCTCGTGGTATCACAGTCACATTGACTTAAATTATACAGACAGCACGAGACTTAATGGCATCTTAAAAATGAGCAGCGTTTGAGTATTAAGGCATTATGGACGACACACGGTCAGTTCAACTGATCATTCCAACTGATCGGTTCAAACTAAGAGTGATGATATTTTTAAAAATATCGGATTTTCGATATATCGATAAATAAACTTATATATAAAACTTCGATATTGATATATTTATAATTATCGATATATCGAAAATCCGGTATTTTAAAAAATATCAACATTCCTAGTTTGAACTGATCAGTTGAACTGACCTTGTGTGTCGTCCATTTGACTTCTAATTTTAGAAATCGTAAAAATGCATTTACACATTTATAATTTTTAATTATCTTTGCTGTGTGACTGTTTATGATGTTCTTAAATATTTATTCTAGTTGCTACCTTATTTATTTGTGGGTAAACAAAAAGTGAACCCTAGTAGTTCAGAAGATCGAGATATGATCTGAAGTTAGGAAGATTTTAGCTTTTTAACGTAAGTGCAGAATTTATTAATTTGCAATTTAGTTTCTGTTTTATCACGAGCTAAACATCAAGTTCACATTGTCAATAATATGTTAAGTACTTCAAGTGCGCCAAAATGCAACACGTTGCTGTCTCTTCATACCTCCAGAAACATCTCAAAGAAATAAATTATATAGAATTCGATCACATTTTTAATAAAGTTAATATTTATTATATTAAAAATTATGTTTTTAATTGTAAAAATAAAACCTAGAAAACTAGTCTAACAATAGAAAAATAAATAAAATTTAAACAAATGACACGTCTTAGCTCGAATAGTAAGATAAAGTAGCGGCTTTTGTTATCTTAAAAGTTTCTGCTTCTAAAAAATTAATCGAAATCGTCTTTTGAAAAGTTCTTCCGAATAAGTGATTTCACTTTATTTCAACTCGGCGAGCATGAGATTAAAAAAGTTAAATCAAGAATGCGGCGGTGTGGGAAATATCCATAATTTAATGTACCGTATTGTAGTTCCTATCATTATTTTTTAACTTTGTTGATTTTTTTATGTAAAATAATAAATTATTTGATAGAATTAAATGTATCAAGTTCTTAATTATGAAATTATAATTATTTATTCACGTTTTTAATAAACTACGTAATTATAGAAACAAAGGTTTAAGGACTTTATAAATTTTATTAATTTAGTATTTTACAAAAATATTATTCTTTGGAATGTAAATCAAATAAAAATAAAAATATAATGAGATAATACTAGTAAAAAACTTTATGTATTAATTTTATTAGAAATATTCACATTATTTAGATTATAATATCATGTTATATAGCATAGCATAAAGCATAAACACTCACGCATGTCACCCAGAGGGGTAGGCAGAGACCACGGACTTCCATTTGACACGATCCTGACATACCTCTTTCGCCTCCTTTGAATCCATATATCTACGCAAGCATACTCGTTGGTTAAGGGTACTTTTAACGTGGCCCATTTTTAAAATATCGCCAATTTGGTCGATAAACTTTTTCTAGGGCGTCCCTTCCCGACTCTGCCGTTCACATCTGCCATGTAAATTTGCTTTGTCACTCCTTCCTATTCATTCTTTCTACATGACCAAACCACCGAAGCATTCCTTTCTTAATCCTGGTCACAACAACATCTTGCATACCGCATTTATCTCTTATCACGCAATTTCTCACCCTGTCATTCAGATTCAACCCTAGCATACTCCTTAAAGACCGCATTTCTACAGCATTTATTCTACTTTCGTGCTTCTTCTGCCACACCCAGCTTTCACTACCATACATTAAAGTAAGGACTAACACAGCATTATGAATTACCATACGTGCCTTTTTTGATACATTCTGGTTCTTCACAATAGAGTGTAGTGCCCCATTCACTCTATTCCCTGCATTTACTCATCGTTCTATATCCTTATCATATCTACCATCCCTGCTAAATACACATCCCAAATACACAATCTCATCCACTTGCTCAATTAACTCTCCTTCTATTCTTATTTCACATACCGTTTTGCTTTCCTCTCTTTCAAAAACCATCACTTTCGTCTTACTTGCGTTCACTTTCATTCCCCTTTCTTTTAATGCCCAGTTCATTAATGTAACCATAATTTGCAACTCAGCCGCCGATGACGCAAATATGACTTGATCATCGGTATACAAAAGGCATTTGACGTTAACTCGCCCATTCTTAACCCACATTCTTCATCTTTCAAAGTTTGCAAACACCTGTCCATAAATAGGTTGAACAGCCAAGGGGAAGCCACACAGCCCTGTCTGACACCCTTTCGGATGCCAAACCAGTCCGAGTAGACCCCATTGATCCTGACACAAGCACTAGAATCCCTATAAAGAGACCTCAATGCCTGTATCAAACAAGCGCTCAACCCATATGAGTTCAGTGTTTGCCGTAACACATTCCTGTCCACTCTGTCATAAGCCTTTTCCAAGTCCATGAACGCACAAAAAACTTTCTGGTTTTTAGCCAAAAACTTCTCCGCAATCATGCGCATAGAATAGACTTGATCTGTACACCCCATTCCCTTTCTAAAACCCGCTTGCACATCCCAAATTTTTCCATCAGTTTCTTTCATAACTCTTTCAATTAACACCTTAGCATACAGTTTACCCACAATACTAAGCAAGTTGATACCACGGTAGTTTTTGCAGTTCTGCTGTGACCCTTTTTCTTTATATATTGGTACTATAACTGCTTTACACCAGTCATCCGGTACCCGTTTTAATTCCCAACATAAATTAAACAAGGTGTACAGCAGGCCTGCCACCACTCCCTCACCAGCCCTTAGCATCTCGAGTGATACTCTATCATATCCAGCTGCCTTACCTGCTTTCATTCTATTTCATCTACACTTATCTCCATACCCCTTTCCACTTCTTTCGGAATTTCTTGTTCATTTAATTCAGACGACTCTTCACTCATAAACACGCTTTCAAAGTATTCCTTCCATCTGTTTAAATTCGAAACTTCATCATTCAGAATACATCCATTCTCGTCTCTTATAGCATTAATTATAGGCTGTTTTGTATTTCCCCTGGCAGTTCCTTACGAGTTTCCAGAACATTTTTATATTAGCCTGGAAATTATCAGATATCCTTCTATCATTCTTATCCGTTCTTTCTTTCTTTGTCCTTTCAACTAGTTCTTTTACTCTCTTATTTAGACGTCTAAATTCTGCCTTTTTTCTTTCAATCTCATCATTCATACCACCAGAATTACCAGCTTTATTTGCTAGTAAATCTAACCATGCTTTCTTCTTTGATTCAACTTCCACCCGCACCTCATCATCCCACCACACACACACACACAACACATTATATTTATATATATATATATATATTATATATATATATAAAGACGCGTTAAAACCGGTGCCAACTCCGGAGCACACGTCTTCAGCACAATGCGGGGGACTCCATCAGGCCTACTCGACTTGCTGACGTCCAGGGAGAGGAGTGCTTTGCGAACCGAGCACTGTGTAAACCATACATCCGGCATGGAGCACTCACACCGCGGGATGGTCGTCGCCGCCGCTCCCCCCGTCATCGAGAATTTGGACGCAAAGAGAGCGCCTAACAGATCGGCTTTCTCCTTTGAGGTATGGGCCAGTGAGTCGTCTTCTCTGTGCAGAGATGGAAGAGATATAGACAGAAGTTCCCTTGGACAGCCTTGGCGAGAGACCAGAATGCACGTGTTTCCGGAGCAAGACGAACTATCTTCTCGTCTTCTCTTTTTATTTCGTACAGTTCCAACCGATGTAAGGCGATACTGATTTAGTGGATGCAGCATTAGCTTATATCCAGTGAGTCGGTTATCAAATGATATATTGCGGTGTGATCGTCAAACTGGTTGAATGAGTCTCCACTGACTCAAAGGGCTTATGACTGACTGCATATGGTCCCGGCGGGTGTTTACGTACACTTTCAAATTATCACGAATAATCAAAACATAGAAGCTTTTTACATCAACCAGAGCTAAATTTTTTCACCCGTACTTAGCTGGCTTGCTTAGAATGTAGACGCGGAACAAACATCGACCATCTCGCCAATAGTCAGAAAGTCACTTGGAGAGTACGCATTCTGGAAGTATTGGACAAACTGGTCAAAAATGATTCTGAAGGCTGCTATATTATCACTTCGTTTACGCCCTCTCGTCGATTTGTCGTCAAAACGTACAGCATTTTGAAGACACTGAAATATTTGCAGTGACATGGTGGTACGATGAATATTAACATCAGTTTGCCAAAGATCTTTCAAACTATTGTCGATTAGATTTGGTGACGCCAACTAAGTCCATTGTGCCAATAAATGCTTTCAACTCACAAATAGTGGTTTCTTTCATGTAAGAAGGAGCTTTTTCAATACCACAGACTAAATCCAGTTGCGCGCGCATTATCTGCACCATTTGCATAATCGCGTTGTCTTTGAATCAACATTTCTTGAAGCATGTCTGGAGTCACTAAGATATTCCAGCATTCATACTCTGTAGCAGTATCAATTTGCAGCATTCTTGACTCGAGCATGTTCGGTTACGATGTTTTCCGAACGAAGTCTCACGTTTGGACATTGACAAATTTTATACCACTTGGCAAAGCTGAGTCTCTCTGCCTGAGTAGTGACAATAGTAAATCGTCCTCGTGGTCGTTACCTGATTCTTTTACTGCAGCTTCTTCCTGCCTGGAGTTGGATGAAACATCAACTGAATCGTTACCTTCTTGCTCCGTCTCAGAATGCAATTCGTGCTCACTACAATGATCAGTCTCTTGTTCTGTACTGGATTCTGATGAATCAGCTGTTGCCTTCTCCAACATGTCACAAATCCGTTCTTCTTACCTTTAAAAATCCATTTCAGTCAAAACTTTAAAAAATAACCAAAAAAAAAACTCAAATAAACGAATGAACAACGAATTCATAGACTAAAATCATAACAAAAATAACTTTAAATAATTGAAAAGAAACTATTTAAACAGTTATAGTTCATGATCAAATCATTAGGTAAATAATACCACAAAAATGAGGCAGGGTATTATAACATACCCGAGATAGGTTTACGCACAAATATCCCGGCCGATGCGGCACACCACACTGCGATCACGCCACTAACTTGCCCCTCACTTCGAGCTATAGTTGCTAGGCAAGGATTTTAAAAATACACTACTTTGAAATTTTATCAGGGTGTGTGATACCCTGGCTCATGCTCGCTTGGTTAAGTGTCTACAAAATAAGAGTACTTAAATTTTTTATGATAACTTTTCACAATCTCTTACTTGGTATTTTTATAGTATGCTTTTAAAATGTCGGGAGTGTTAAGTAACTGCTTGTCCAAAGAAATCAGCAATTAGAAAAGACACCTCTGGATAAACGTAGCTACATATATACTTTTGTTTGAAGTTACACTATCCAATCATAATATTATGATGTTTTATATAATATTATTATTATGTATTGTTAAATGTGACATTCATAAACTATAGATTTGTGATAAATTATAGGCTTGTGATTTATTTATGTGTAAGTAAACAATGTAAATATGTTATAATGCATTTCATTTTTAAAAGGAAATAAAAACATGAATTTGCTCTCTGTACTAAATTATTCAATTAAACTGGGTATTAGAGTATAAAAATATTTTTCTTTTGCAATGCTTCGATTTCATCTGTAGCTTGTTTTAAAGTAAGCTTACTGGGTAATTGAGATAACTTGTAAACATTTGCAATTCATTAATATAAATAAAATTAGCATTAGATATTTGAAGCTATATATTTTTAGCTTTTGACACATAAACACGGGCCACTGGCGGACCGGAGGGGATTAGCCGTATGCAGATGTTCCTCTCTGTGGAAGTATAGGTCCACGCGGTCCTATACGTACAATAACCAGTTGCAGCTGCACTGCTCACCAGACTAGATCCAGTTGCGCGTCTCGGTCAAAGTCCTACAAAAATACCCAATTAACGTCAAATTTAGAAAAAGATGGCGTTACTTTTCATATATAAGTAATAATTTTAATCACATTATTGATATTTAATTCTTTTTGAACTTAAAAATTACATTGTGCGTGCGTGTGTGTGTGCGTGCGTGCGTGCGTGCGTGCGCGTGTGTGTGTGTGTGTGTGTGTGTGTGTGTGTGTGTGTGTGTGTGTGTGTGTGTGTGTGTGTGTGTGTGTGTGTGTGTGTGTGTATCTGAGAGTGTGCGCGTGCTAATGTGCATGCGTGCATGAGTGCGTGCGTGCGTGTGTGTGTTTGTTCCTATTCTGTACACACGCACCTTGCAAAAATTGACACAGTTCTGGGTATCGGAGAAAAAAGTTATGGCTTCTCTCCTCCAGTCCGCCGAGGGCCTGTGTTGCTCTATGTTTTTGACATTGCAAATTATATATTATAATTTACCAGCTGTCAGCCCTAGTAATATTTTAACTAAGTAAAATTATTAAGTTCGAAATGTGATTATTTATGGTGTCTATGTTATAATTATAAGGTGCTTAAGTGTTTCATGAATAGCTTTAGATTATAGTTTGAATTGAGCATTTTGTGTACTTCTGTGTGTTTGTAAGAACTTATTTACTGCATGCCTGCAATATAATTTTAAAGCAATAATAATGTTTTGAATAGAAATGACTGAGCTGTTTAAAATTATAAAGTAGGAAAACATCACTTGTGAAATTATTTGTTTCATTAAATTAAAATAATCCCAGTTTTCTTAATTATATGTTTTGTAAAAAAAATATTTTCATCAATACTTAATAAACCAAATAAAAAATAACAAGAGTCACTTCCTTTTAAACATATTAATAATTATTACGAGGGTGGATTGAAAAGTACTCGGCCTAACCAAGAAAATAAACACATACTAAATCAGTTATATTTTTATTTTTCTACATAATCACCATCAAGTTCAATACACTTTTGCCACCTCCCCTTCCAAGCATTTAGACCGTTGAAAAAAAATGATTCTTCCTTAGAGTCAAAATATGCGTATACAGCTGCTTTGACCTCGTCGTTTGTCGAAAATCTTTGACCTCTCAAGTGCTTTTTTAGGTTAGGGAACAGAAAGAAGTCTGATGGTGCCAGATCAGGTGAATACGGTGGATGCGGTAACAGTTCAAAGCCACAGTTGTGAATTTCAGCCATTGACTGTACTGACGTGTGAACACGGGCGTTATCTTGATGAAACAGGACTTTTCTTCTGAGCATTCCTCGACGTTTTTCTTTTATTTCCTCTCGTAAACAACGTAGCAAGGTGCAGTAGTAATCAGAGTTTATATTCAAATAATTCCAAACAGTCGCGTGAAATAGTCAATCGCGTCCTTTTTTTGTTCAACTGAAAGCAGTCGCGGAACCCACCTCGCAGACACCTTGTGGAAACCCAACTCGTTGACAATGATGTTTTGAGTTCGTTTATAAGAGATGCCTATAATCTCGGCTATCTCTCTAATTTTTAATCTGCGGTCTCCCATTATTAAATCAAGTACTTTTTTTAATATTTTCGTCAGTAGTTTACGTCGAAGGCCTTCCAGAGCGGGGTTCATCTTTCACACTCTCTCTACCACGCTTAAATTCTGCTATCTATTTTTTGACGGATGAATATGACAGAGCACAATCGCCTAATGTACTGAACATGTCATCATGGATGGCTTTTGATGATAGCCCCTTCTTATGGAGGTACTTAATGACGGCACGCTGCTCGATTTGCTCCATTCGCGGAAATTATGTCCGATTACTTTGTTAATAAATTTATAAAATCACAACTAATTATCGCACACGTTTCGAACTTCACACAATGAACTAGTCTGAACTGAACTAAATAATGTGGGTAGATTTGATTTTTAGAATTGAATGGATCTGTGTTAGGCCGAGTACTTTTCAATCCACCCTCGTAATATAATTAAAAGCTGATCTACATTAGCTAGTTACCTAGCACAGTAGCAACCTATGGTTTATATTGTTGTGGCTTATATGTAAATAAGAAAATAACAGTTTTATCAATAAAACATGTCTAAAATATGGTTATTTCTTGTATTAAAGATAGATTGTAGCAGAGTGCGTTAGAAGCGAACACCGCGCTGTAGTAACACTTAAGTACTTCGTAGAGAAAGGAAATATCGAAAGAAATTTTTGATGACATGTTATTAGTTCTTAAGAAATCTGGGCATTCGTATATCTTAGACTAAAAATGGGCTCGCTTATTTCAAAAAGAACGAGAGGGATGTGAAGATGACCCCCACACAGGGCGTTCTGTGAATTGTAGTGTTTCTGTGTCTTGTAGAATACGACAAGGTTACGGGGAACGCACACCTCAGGGACTAGTGGAGAACATGCACCTAACTATGAGAAATAGAGGTTTTACTTCATATTAGAGACAGTGTTGTTTAGAATAAATAGGGTTGGTTTGGGGTCCGGGGGGGGTTTTTTTGTTTTACAAAGCGTTACTTGTTGTTGACGGTGGTAATTTGCGTAACGCTGAAGCGTTGTCATTTCCAGAACGTTTGGCATTTGTGCAGAAATATCCAGCCGTAGTTGCACGCCAGTTCAGTGTACGTGGGAATACTCTAATGCGTTATTTAAAAAAAATAATATCACTTGCTTGAGGTTCTGTTCAGAACTATTGGTATTGGATAGTTTTAGAATAGGGGAAGTCCGCTTACATATGCTGTTGTGATGTGACGTTTTGACGTCACGTCACAACAGCATATGTTGTTGACGTGAGATTTCTCCAATACGAAAGGCATAGTAGAAATTGATAAAATTGTATCGTGCGCTTTAAGTCCTGACGATCCATTGCTGTGCAGTTTCGTTGAAAATGTACAAATGCACAAACACACAACCACCTGTCACAAAAACCGCTATGACGGTTCATGTCGATTTGGATTTCCTAAAGTACCAGCAGGCATCACAACGTGTTTAGGTCGCGATGAAGCTCTGTTCAATAACGGCTGATATTGTATTTTGAAAAGAACGCCCCCTGAGACCATAGTTAATAATTAAAACCTTAAACTCCTTTCCCTATGGCAGGCAAACATGGATATCAGCCATGTGGCAACATGACGGTTATCGCACATTATGTGGCGAAGTATGCTTGTAAATGTGAGTCATTTGATACGGTTGAAGTACGAGGGGAGGTCAAAAAGTTCGCGGAATGGGGGGTTGGTGAGGGTGAGTTTACTCATCCAGGTAGGTGCTAGTTAAGTGGCTCATTATTAGTATATATACCAAGTTTCAGCATAATCCGGTCATTAGCTTTTGAGTTATCAACGAGTAAACAAGTCAATCGGGAAGAAACTTGTCACTGGAGAAAATTGAATATCGCGCCGTCATTAAGTTTCTCACCAAACAAGGAAAGACACTTCAAACCATTTTTCAAGATATGTAAGCTGTTTTTGGGGACTCCGCTCCGGGGATAAACCAAGACTTATAAATGGCACGCGCTTTTCAAACAAGGAAGGGACTCCATTGAAGGCGACTCCCGACCTAGACGGCCGATTGAGGCTACCTCGCCAGAAATAATCGAAAAAGTTGAAAAACTTGTATCGGAAAATGCCCGAATAAAGAAAAAACAGCTTGCAGCATTAGTTGGAGTATCAGAAACAACTATTTTAAACATCCTACATCAACACCTTTAGCATGACTAAAGTTTGCAAAATGGGTTCCGAGAATGCTTTCTGCGCATCAAAAATACGAGCGCGTCGAAAATTGTCGCGAGTTTTTGAAACTTGCAACAAATTGCAACTGGCGATGAAACTTGGGTTCACCATTATGAACGTGAACCAAAGCAAGAAGCATCAGTGGCATAAACAAGGCACACACCCTCCTAAG